CATCCTCCTTCCTATCCTAACTCACTGTGTGGGATCACTGTATGGCATAAGGCAGCCATGTCATTTGATCCCTGATAAAGTTGATTTGGGATTCCTTGAGAAAACGTATATATGGCAAATTGCTGTTGCAACATTATTATAATTTAATTTTCAGATTACTTCTGACAAAATTAATGGGAAATGCTTATTTAAATTTATAGCCATAAGTACTAGAATATCCACAAATGTTTCTGAACATCAACTCTTCTCATTTGAGTTAAATGTTGGGCTTAGAGGATACAAGGAGCTTCAAATCAACAAGAATCTCAGGAGGGTAAATTTGGCTTTTGGTTTTGGAGTACCTGGTGCTAAAACTCAGTAACTTTTTTTATTAATGGAACTCCCTTAGTTTTGTTCTGAAAAGCAAAACCACATCACTTATGTAAAGACATGTAACATCATCACTTCATACTTCTGCAGGAAATGTTCAGTCTGGAGGAGTTTCACCTCCTGGAGCAGTTTCACCTCCTGGAGCAATGTCCTCTCAGAGGATGGTCCTGTCGGCTGACTGAGCCTTGTACAAAATGTAACAACTACATATTTTAACCTGCAGCATGTTTACACTTTTAATATCAGATAAGTGTGTGATGTACTCAGAGGAAAAGGCAAAATCTATTTTAAACATTGAAGCCTACATCACACGTTGTGACTGGTGCTAATTTGCTTGAAGGGAACTTACATGGTAAACTGCAAAGTGTTTCTTCTTGTGAAAGAAGGATGTTGGACTTGACATTTGCAAACAAATCTTTGAAGTGATTGTGTTATGGGGACAGAATAGTCAGGTAACTTTCCAGTCCAGGAAAAATATTCTTATCTAAATCATATCGCTCTACAGGCAGAAAACCAAAATCCAGTTCCAGCAAACATGCTGATTGCAATTCTGTATTTTTAAGCGGCAGTGTCTACCAATTTGGCTTATGGACTACATGAGCTGCATCAACAATTTCTGTTGCTGTTGTGACTGTTTTGAACGCAAGAATCAACTGATTTAAATTTTAATACTGGTATCTCCAAGCATTTGTCTTCATTTGGTATTTAAAATTAGGTAAGAAAACATAAGCAACCATCTCAGAAACTACAGTATTAGTTTAAAAGCCTGTTAGCACTAGAAATAATGGCTTAAACAAAAGGTTCTTTTTGCATTCTTTCAATATTAGTATGATAGCAAAAAGAGATCTCATCGTGTTATTATAAATGACATTTTGGTAACACTTAAGATCTTGCCTTTTTAACACTATATGCACCAAATGAAAAAGATTAAATCAAAACAGCTGAAACATATCACTGAACAATATATTTTGCATCTTATTTACTTGAATGTCCTATGCAAGGAGTGTGACTGAAAGATAGGTAAGCTTAAATAGCCATCTCAAAGGACAGCTGAAAATAACAGCGCTGAAAATGAAGTGCAGCATTGAGTTACACAAGATTAAGCTGACTAATCTGCTGATTCAGTTTTGCCTTTGTATTTTGGTTTTGTCATGCAAGATCAAGAGTCATGCAGACAAACACGTAATGGCATTCCAGGCTCACAGTAACAACAACAAGCAATGGGCTGTCCCCCTACAACTTCTGCATCCTCCAAAGATGATAAAAGCAAAATGCTCACCAGCAGCAAGAGGCAGCAGGCTAAAGACAGGGAAGGCATGCTATGCTCTTTTTGTTGTTGTTGTTGCAGGTGTGCTGAATTTGGTATCTTTTTGGCACAGAGGTTTTTTGTTAGAGATGCTCATGTAATAAACCTTACTTCAGTTCATAGGAAGCGTAATACTGTGTATGTCAGGAGATATCAGATTCAAATAGAGTCCGTAAAACATCTACAGAATATAAAAACCCAGCAGTATATTCTTCTATAAGGACTATGTCTTGGGCAGTCCAAAGATACCAAACTCTTATGAATGCTGATGGATTAAGGAAGCTATCAGCGGAGCCTATGGCGAATTTAACCTTTGCCCACAGTGCAAACAGGAGCCTGCTCACTGCTCACAGAGACAGCTGCGCAAGGACTGCCAACCCCAGGGGAGCTGCTCTCCCAGCAGTACCCACCAGCGCCGATGGTGAGGGTCAGGACCAGCATGGAGGGAATCTGTGAGTGCTTACCCTTGCATTCCCAACCTAGAGCGAATCCTTGGAGGATTGCTGGGAAGGGCACAGCACACACGTTAGCATCAGATCAAGCCATGCTAGGGGGATTGCCAAAGCACAAGACAAAGCCAATGTCATGAGAGGTACTCTGCGATTGAAACATGAGAAATAAAAGTCCTTCCAAAGTAGGAATCATACCAGCTGAATACATTCTTTTTTCTTTTTCTTTTTCTTTTTTTTTTTTTTAATATGAGAAATAGCAATGACTAAAATCAAAGCATGATGCTGCAGAAATGAACATGTTGCAGGGCAGCTGGCATAGCAGGCTCTCCAAAATAAAAAGATAATGAAATAAAGCCTCAACCCGCACCGCAAACATTTCAATATTTTCTCTTTCCCTCTGGAAATGATACGGCTGTGTCATTATCCAGGCACATCTCTGGTTCTACCTAAGCTGCTAAATGTATGCTGATGGCAGGATGCATCTTGCCTGCAGTAAAACTGGAGGTTCAGGCCAAAATGAACCTGGGAAGCAGTTTGAAAATGAAATAAAGGCTCTGTAGACCTGGGCTCATGTCCTTGAGCTGCCACTCACGGCTGTGACATGGCATTTGATCTCTGTGTGCATCATTCCCTATCTGTGGAAGGCAGACAATTACATATATTTTTCTAGGTGAAAGCACATTGGTCTTTTCCACCTGAGTAGTGTTAAGAGTTTAAAAAAATAGCTGAAGGATGAGAAGGGCTCTCAGGCCAAACATTTTCATCAGCATTTTACTGGATAGAAAAAAAAGGATTGGCAGGTGAATGGAAATGTTTCTACTAGTTTTTCATGATGTGAAAATATAAACCAGAGAGATCTGGTTTTGTGAGGGTTTTTCTTTCCTTCTGTATTATGTATTAGTCTATTCAACCAAGTAGTAAGCAATACACAAGAGACAATGCCCTCAAGTTGCTCCAGGGGAAGTTTAGACTGGTTATTAGGAATTTTTTCTTTCCAGAAGGGGTTGTTGGGTGTTGGAATGGGCTGCCCAGGGAGGTGGTGGAGACCCCATTCCTGGAGGGGTTTAAGAGTTGGGTCGACATAGCGCTGAGGGATCTGGTGTAGTTGGGAACTGTCAGTGTGAGGTTAATGGTTGGACTGGATGGTCTTTAAGGTCTTTTCCAACCTAGACGATTCTGTGATTCTGAATTTATTAGCATTAGAGCAGTATTTAGTGCAAGAAGAGGGACTGAGGCCCCATCATGCTAAAGAGATACACAGAAGTCATTTGTGGTTTTACACAGGCTTTTCTAAGACACAGTTTGCAGACGTGCACATGTATGGGCCTACTGAGTGAAAGTTCAAAAGCTGGCTTATAGTGTTGACTAAGCATACTTCATTTCTTAATTTCCTAAAGAGTACCTTGTTAGAGAAATGCTGGAAATAAATCTGCAGATGTTGGATGTTATAAAAAAAGGCCTTTGCCAACCGCTGAACTACTAGCACATCTGCATTTCCTTTACATAAGCCTCTATTTTTAAGGATGTGTCACTTGGCAAGATTCTATACTTGAACTTAGCATTGGAAATTTTCACTTCAGGAAGGATGTCTTTTGGGTTTGGGTGGTTTTTTTGTTGTTGTTGTTTGGGGTTTTTTTTGTTTGTTTCCTTTTTAATTAAGCAGATCGATATGTTTGTCAATATGTAAGACCTGAAATAATTTGAGGCATATCTGCTTTAATGGTCAAAGGCTTGTCATCAAGCGAAAATTACACATATTTAAAATCAGGATCTTAATCTGTTATTAAAGTAGACATTTGAATGGTGTAGTTGTGGGGTTGTGTTAAAACCCAGGACAGCAAACAACCATCTGGGAGCTTCTGGAAACTGGTCTTGCTGCATGGACCTAGTCTCCATTGGGTCAGTGTTCACACGGTGCTAAATGAAATAAAGAGGTTTGGAATTTAAGTCTAGAAGTACGTCACAGCAGCACCTCTCTCTGTTCATTCATTTGCTTCTACTTTTACCCACGTAAAATCTGCTTGCTGCTTCCTAAATTAACTGGCTTTCCTTGACTGCCATAGAGGGTGATCATCTGCTCATCTGTCCTGTCCCTAATGATTTTTTCGATGCATTGCCAATCCCAGAGAATTTGAAGGGCAGGCAGGAGAGATGTCAAAATTCTTCAGTTCCTAGAAGTTTTGTGGGAAAATAAAAATGAGCAAATGAAAAAGATGCTTCTTTCCCCTATGGGTAGAAAAGGCTCACCCTCATCTTGTTCTTTAGGCTCACCCTCATCTTGTTCTTTATCAAGATAATCAGAGCAGAAGAAATATCCTGTAAGTGTCCCAGTCATGGGAAGTTTCACTGATGGTTTGTATCTCAGGAGCTGTAGTCAAGACCCAAAGCTGTAGGATATCAGGTTTCATTAATTTCAGTGATCTCACCACTACTTATTTGCTTGTTGGTAGCGGTGTTCTGTTTTATTTTATTCCTCCAAGAAAATCTAAGAACAGTAGGACATAAAAACTTAAATCCTGTTTCAAAATCAAATAGAAATATCCAGCTTAATAGCTTCATACTTTTCAAAAGATGATTATTTGACTTCTGGTCTCTTGCTTATTTAAGGCATCATGGGCTTAAAAAGGAAAAATATGCATAGCCATGTGACAAAGCAAATGCACCAAAGGGAGATTTATGCAGTTTTCAGAAGATCAGCAGCAGTGATTCACCCCTCTTGGCTGGGCTGAAGTGCAATATGGTCAACTGTTTCCCCCAGGGAAGAAGAAAAGATGAAAGTCCCACACTGCTGCGATGGCCATGCAGGGAGCAGTGACCTGTGCCGGGATAGCTCCAGCCAGTGCACCAGGTACAAAGAAAACTTCAGCCTTAACTATCAATGTTGTTGTAGGGGGTTCAAGTCAGGCAATCCAAATGTAGCTTTTAGTGGTTGAATGAAACACGGCAAAAACTTTTTAAAACAAGAGCACTCACCATCCAGAGACTGAATAAACAAAAGCATATTTAGACAACTGTGTGCTATTCAGCACTTTACAACGCTTGAAGAAGAGAGTCCCTCCTCTTTCAAGCCCCCACACAAATCTTGCCACAGATTTTTCAGGCTGATCTCAGAGATTTGTTGTTTTCAAAGTTAAAACAACATCAGTTACCAGATCTAGATGAGCTGAAAGGAGTTACAAACAGTGTCTTTTTTATACCCTTCCCCCTTCATCCAGCTTTGAAAGCTACGAAAGCAAAGCCAAATACATAATAAATGTTAGTGTTTGCTCCAGTACTTGCTCAGAGTCAATGTTTTGTAAGGATTTACTGATTTCTTGGAATTTTTGATCATTGGAAGGATCAATAGGCTTTTCTGAAAAACACTCGCTGTAGTAATGTCCAAAGTGGCATTAAGCAGAAAAAAACCCTACTGTCAGGTATTGCAGTTGATAAAACCAATTTCTTATAGGCTTGTTTTTCATAGATTCTGGTCTGCTTTTTACTCTTTAAAAGTTACTTATATTTATGTCTTTTTTCTTTCTTACCGATTCCATAGTGAATCTCTTGAAGAAAAACTTGAAAGCCTGGAAGCTGAAGATCTCATGTCTCATCTGTCACGACAAGAAACCCTCCTAGATGAGGCAAAAAGATCAAGTAAGTAAAACTGACCCAAGCTATGGGATTGACAAGATCACTTAGTCAGTTTGAAACAATGTCTATTAATTCTTCAGTGATAGCAGTTTATCATACGTTACTTGATTACATTTGATAGCATGAGTTTCATTGTGGTAAACAGATCTATTAGAAATTGCCTGCAAATAACACCTTGTTAAAAATTGCTACAGGAGAGTTTCATTTAGCCGACCGGAAAAACTCTCTGTCTAACTCAATGTGGCAACTACTCACTCAGTGACACTGAATGCAGAGCTGGTAACTTTGCCTGTCCAAGTTGTCTGACACTTCAGAAGACCCTGTTTTCAGATATAACTTCAGTCCATTCAGGCTGAAAATTTCCATGTCAGGTGTACTCACCAGACTGATCTTTTTTTTGAAGATGAAGATATGATTTGAAGGATAAAGAGACTGGGAGCAAAAAATGGCCTGACAGGGAAGAATTCTGCATGTAGGAGAGGAGAGGAGGGTGCAGAGAGATGGTCATACCAGGACACAGACAAGTGGTTTCACAGTTTTTCATCAGACATCTCTACTATTATGTTGCATACTATTTCCAGTTTAAGACTTGTGTTGCTGCGGGGGAAGGAAGGTGATAAGAGATACTGCAGAGCCTCTGGGGGGGGTGAGAAACAGAGTCAAGATGCCATCTTGACATGGCCCAAATTGTATTATTGTCCCTGGGTCAAGAGTTTCATAAAAGCTGTATTTAGCCTAAAAAAACTGTTTAACTGGACAAAACACTTGCACAGGCATAAGGCCTGAGGAATTCGCCATCTGAATGATGCTCTAATATCTTGTCCAAGGTCACCAAGTCAGGGTGTTGAACCCACATGAGCACATTCATCATTGGACCACCTTTCTTCTCTCTAGGAGAGCCACATATGCTTCCTTCTCAGCATTGCTTCTCATCAATCAATCCTGATAACTTCAACCAGCTTGATTTCTTTATATTTTTCTGGATTTCTTTCATATTTAATTTTATTTGTTGGTTGCTGTAGTGCTGAGAGGCTCAGAAATGAGTAGGAGACGTAGAAAGGGAGTATAATCATCATGAACCACTGAGATCTAACCACAAATCCTAGTAATGCTGCCTAGAGCAAATGACTCATTAAATAATATTCAGTAGCTTCTTATAGCAGACATAAGAATATTCTGTGACTATTTGGACTTATGAAAAATAAATTACCATCAATTCAAAATATAATGTAAATCATAGTTACTTGTGAACTCAGGTCAGCATTCGATTTAGGAAGCAATGATCCATTATATATTTTTTTGCTTTGATTTGATTAGCATAAACCTGTAATCACGCAGGTGACTGCTTTGCCTAAGGAGATGGATAATATCATTAAAAAGAACAGATGTGCTGTAAAGTTAAACAACAAGCAGACATGTCATCATGGGTTGAGTCAGATCCAGGGTTGCCAGTGGCTGTGGTTTTGTTGTAAGATAGTGGTACTTGTTTGTCTGCTGGTGGAGGCATTTCCCAGTCCACAAAAAACAACGCAGCACCCAGGTTTTCTTCTAACACCTTTTTCCTACATGTAATGTAATATTCAAGCATAATATCCCTGGTTTAAGGTTGATGAGAAGTTCTCCTCTTATATCCTTGCCTTTGTATCAAAGGACACACCTTTTCCTTATGGAAAGAGCCTGTAACCATTTCTTCTCCT